CCCCCCCCCGCCATCGACTTAGTGGAGGGACAGTCAGCCACACTGGGCTGCGGACTCTTGGCTGTCCCCAGGGCGGGAGACGCTGACCTGCTGGCTCGGCTGTTTATTGCAGCGATGTGGATGTTCTGAGAGTCACCAGGGACACTTCACAGCAGTATCAGCTCTTTCTTTTCACCCTTCTGGCCTGGGTCCCCCGCTGGTTCTGGTTGAAGCAAGCTGCAGACGCACCCTAGGAGTAATTAAGTGAATTGCTCTTACTTGATACCGTTGAATACAATTCTGCCCCCTCCCAATTTTTGTGGCGTTTGTAGGAGCATATAAGAGCGGGGAGTGGGGAGAGAATGCTGGGCGTTTTGCAGAAGCCGAACGCTCTGGTGTTATGTCATCCTTCTCGGCGCTCGTTTTTAGGTCCTCGTTGTGGTGACGTCCTTTCGGCTGGCTCTGCCCTGTCCCAGGCCCTGGGTTAGTTTGGGTGGAAAAGGAGTGGCTGGCTTGAGTAAACGTGCTGTAACTTAGTCTGCCGCTTTCTGAGGATCAGAAGATTATGGATTTTTTAAAATGAAGACTTGTTAGGGAACTGTAGAGTACTGTGATTACTGTACTCGTACTAGAGGTTTGGAAAATACAAATGCTGCTCTGTTTCATTCAGTAATTAGGAAAAGCTTAAGTACTTTAAATGCACCCTTTACAATTGCCAAAGCTGCTGTAAATTCTTTTGTAAAATAAAAAAGCACCCCTAATTTATCCTTTCTGTAAATCTGTTTCCTAAGCTTAAAGGATTTGAGTATTGTTTGAAAGTTCCTAGTTGTCAGGATTCTTAGTGTCTTCTAAAGTTTAAGTGTAGTATTTCCTTTCCTTTTGCCTCTGGGTCCATTTTGTGGTGGCAAGGAAAACTTGTTTAGTACTGATCTATGAGAATAGAATGGTTTCAAGAATTTGTTGGGGATTGCGCTTTAAATTGTATCGTACGTTGTACGGTATATCTCATTCAAAATAATTTTCAGCCTGTAATCCCGCGCCTTTGGGAAGCTGAGATGAGTGGATTGCCTGAGCCCGCGGGTTCGAGACCCGCCTGGGCAGGCGAGACCTCATCTCTACAATAAAATCAAAAAATTAGCTGGGCGTGGTAGCACGCGCCTGTAATTCCGGCTACTCGGAAGGCTGAGGCGGAAGGATCGCCGGAGCCCAGCGGGTCGAGGCTGCGGTGGCCGGGAGCGGCCGCTGCACTCCAGTCTGGGCGACAGAGTGAGACTCCAACTCAGAAAAAAAAAAAATAATAATAATAATAATTATCGATGCCGGGGTAATCATTTGAATGCAACATTTGCACATTTGTTTCCTAAATTATAAGTTTTGAGCTCTCATTGTATGGTAATACCCTATTTCCCATTAAAGATGTTTTGCAAAATACAGAAAATTTTTTTAAAAAAACAACTGTACATACTGTTTTCAGTCATCAATTTTGGAGGGTTGTTTTTTTCCAAAATAACTTAAGCTTGCTTCGCTTACAAATACATGCCCAGGTTCCACTTTGAAATGATGTTAATAGTATTGAATATGCACTTATGGGTGTGGGTGTGTGGGAGGGCTTATAGGTTATATTAAAAGTTTAATTTTTCTCCATTAAGATATCAGCACCACTAGAAACCATCAAAGAAATGGATGTGATGATAAAAGCTTTAGTAATTTTGAAGATGATGACCTCTAACATTAAATGCTGTGATTTTTAAAATGTCTTTAAATTGGAAGATTTTGAGAACTTGAGTCTTTGTCATCTCTCAGTGATGTGCCATTACTAAAAGGTTTTTTTTTTTCCCTTCTCTCTGAAGCCTCAACATTTTTCTTACAGCATTCATGTAGGACCTGTGGTTTTGGTGACAAGGTTCAGTTCCCTCCTTTTTGACTTATATGTACACAATTTTGCAGTTTGAGATCTATACCAAGATTCATTTGTCTAACTGAGGATTCAGATGGAATCAGCAAAGTATTCTCTGTCATTTCTCCTGTCTCTGGACAGGTAGGATCTTTGGAGTGCAGTTTTCTTTCATTATTTTCCCAAATTTTGAAGATAATTATATTTGAATTTTGTACCAAGATAAAGAGGTGTGACTTGAAACTTTTTAAAGTATTTGAGTAAGCAATAATTTCACAGGATTAAAGATAGAAAAATCAAAAGAAGTATACAATGTAAAGTCTTCCCCTTTCATGTCATTATATAAAGAGCACCCTCAATAAGTTTTTTTTTCTAAAAGGTGATTAGCACAGAAAGAGGGAATAATAAAAGAAAATGGACCTTGATCAAAACATTGAAGAGACAG